TGTCAAGGACTTCGTGCGTTCGCAAAACTCACTATTTAGAACTTCTATGCCAGCTTTGTTTTTTCCGCAAGCACAAGGAGGGGTCACTCGTGAGGCTAACGTCTTTGTCGGCAGCAAGTGATTTATGGGTACATTTCAAAAGGCGAAAGTTGCCGTCATTGAACACTAAAGCTCTGCACTTCATAGTAATTCGAGCTGATAGATCGAGACTCAGATAATAGATTTTTTGTACGGTCAGTTCTCAAGAGAGGGTTATCGCAGAGTCCAAAAGCGAACCGTATGAAGTGGATCAAGTATGGCTGTGCCTTAGAAGCTTGTCCTAAATTGTCTACATATGTTATAATTTTTGCTTATTTTTCGATTCTTTCCATGGCCCTGAGTTTGGTTTTGCGTATTGAGTTTTGAAGTCGTAAAATCCCCCATTTTCAATGAATAATTAGTGTATAGTTTCGACTGGCATTCCTCTTACCCCCTATGCAAAACTTAGGCAGCTCAAGATTTGGACTGGTTAGCGTTCATTATTGCTTATGGAAATTTCTTTATTGAGGAGTTCAATTTCATGATCTTTGTTGACCAACCAGTCTGCAAGGTTTCAGTGAAATCAGAAGTGTGGGTCATGTAGTTAGGAACACGTTGGCTTGAGTTTTCCACTCCAGTGCAATACGAAATAGCTCTGAACTGTATCGAGGTGCTAATTCTACGATGCAATCTCTTCAGCATATCATACTTGACTTCTACTTTCTGATAACTTTCATTTCTCCGAGACCTACCCAGTTCTTGATTGTGTATGCCTTACCCATTCAGAAATGTCCTCGAGGCATCGAATCGACTTGGATGATGATCGTAAAAGAGACCGAGATAGAGAGAGGGATCGCGATAGGGATAGAAAATCTCGTCGGTCAGTTGAAGCGTTGTTCATAATATGCATGCAATTTTGTCGTAAAAGTTGGCCTTTTGCTTGGCTAGCGGCTTCAGTCAGGTCGCGAAAACAATTTTTTGGTTTTTTTTTCATCTCTTAGTTATTTTCAACATTTGCAGTTCTCGCTCACGTTCTCCGATAAAAAAGGAGTATGATCGGTCCAGTTCTTCACCTGCTGTTCAGAACAACAATGCTGCTGCAGATGCTAAGGTATGCGAATATTGTTTTTTTTT